TTCTGGGAGTTCTCGGTCCACATACTGCTGAAGCCTACCTTGGAGGATTTTGAGCATAACCTTGCTAGCGTGTGAAATGAGTGCAATTGTACGGTAGTTGGAGCATTCTTTGGCACTGCCGTTCTTTAGGATTGGGATGTAGACTGATCTTTTCCAGTACACTGGTCACTGCTGAGTTTTGCAAACTTGCTGGCATATTGAATGTAGCACCTTAACAGAATCATCTTTTAAGATTTTAAATAGTTCAACTGGAATGGCATCACCTCCACTGGCGTTGTTGTTAGCCAGGCTTTCTAAAGCCCACTTGACTTCACTCTCCAGGATGTCTGGCTCAAGGTCAGCAACTACATTGTCTGGATTGTCCGGGATATCCAAATCTTTCTTACTGGCTTTCTGCCAGTAAGATGCATATCTTCAATTAATGATATTTTTTCTACTTTCACTCCTCCTCCTGAATCTAGCCCAGCTTTCCATATGATATGTTCTGCATATAGATTGAACAGATAAAAAGATAACATGCACCTTTGTCTGACATTCCAATTTGCTTACATGGAATGATCTTGTAAGGGTCTCCAGTTGTTTCTTTCAAATTTAGGTTGTAGTTTCCTATGGCAATGTTCAGATCTGCTATTAATAAAGAGTTGATGGGCCATTTGATTTGTTGGAATGTTTGCATGAGTAGAGTCTTTAGATGGGCAATTATTAAGCCACTTTAATAATCTCCAGGCCTTCTGACTATTTATTATCATATTTATTTCTTCCATAAGTTTTATCCACTTACCCCTTTTAGTTTTTGAAACCAAATAAATCAATCACTGACCTGCCAAAGGGGTTTCTTTACTCAAGTAGTTAAATTCAAATAGCAAAAAATAAATTGCCACTGTTTCCAACGTTAGGCCTTGGAGGTAGTTGGTTCTGTGTGGATTCTGTGATTTTTTCCACTGCCTGGACAAACTGACCAGGGGCCTCTGGGACTGGACAAAAGTTCAGTATAAATTCCATCCAGTGTTGTACTAAATGTCTGCCAATCGGCTTTTAAAAGATTGTATCTTCCTTCTGTGGAATGGTACTGTACATGGTCTGACCGGTGCTGTGAGTTAACACATTATTGGCCAGTATTGTGTATTAATTGGAATGCAGACTGACTTCGCACACTGTTGGACTAGAAGGTCATTGGGAAATACCAATTCCACGTTGAAACCACATTGTGATGTTCCTCATTGAAAAATGAGGGAAGTTTATTTTGTAGATATGGGCTAGTTGGAAGATGTCCACCCATTTTAGCACTACTTCTTCACTGTCATAAAGTGCATATCCCCAGACACTGCTGTAGCAATTGAAGTCTCAAATTATAAAATTAGTTTTTGCTTATAGAAACTATTGAGAGTTTTAAAGGAAAAGGTTGCATTAGCTGGTTTATAAACAAAGGATACTGTACAATTTACCTCCACTGTTATTATCTCTGTGTCATCCTGTTCTTTGACAGTAGTAGATGATATTTGGAGGTCTAATATAGCACTTCCATATTATCTGTCAGATCTCTAAGCTCATGCAAGTCTCATGCTGGATGTTTTGGGGCATTGCTGATGGTTGTATTTCTTGCATATGACACATATCACAATTGTGTAAGTGTTCTTTAGGCATCACTGGCTCTCTGTTAATAGAGATTATTGTTAATTTTGGCTATAACAAGGGCTCTTCCACTATTGATAACCACTTGCAGACTTGTCAGAGTCATATAGTCTCTTGTCCAATGCTATTCAAACACGGAGTCACCTGACATTGATGCTTCTTAAATGAAAGAATCAGCTGACATTGCATAGGTGTTATGTCATTACTGGTGCTAACCAAGTATGGATCTGCTCAGTAATTGAGATGGGAGACTCATGGGCAGTTACGTAAAGACAGGATATACGTATCTTGTTGAATGAGAGAACTCCTGTTTATTAATTTTCTGCTGCTTATCTTGCAATTTGTAATTACAGTGGTGCCTCGCTAGACGGTTGCCCTGCTTTATGACGAAATTGCTTTACGATGGGTTTTTTGCGATCGATTTACCCATCACAAAACGATGGTTCCAATGGGGCTTTTTCGCACTACGATCACCCGTGCCTGCTTTAGAGCACTTTGGAGGCTTTTCCTGCACAGTCAGGAAAAGCCTCCAAAGGGCTCTAAAGCGGGCGCGGGAGGTTTTGGGGCACCCCCGCCAGGGCTCGGATGGTGCATGAAAAGCCATCAGAACCCTGGCGGAGGTACCCCAAAACCACACACCCTGGCTTTGGGGGTCCCCCAGGGCTTACCTTGCACCATGGGAGGACTCGCGCGGGTCCCTCTGCACAGCAATCGGTGTTTGCAGAGGCTTGTCTAAAACCAATTTTAAAGTTCCTACCTCTTCCTCCAGCCTTCGGCAAGCCTCGGAAGGGAAAAATGCTTTTTTCCTCCCTTTTCCCCCATGGTGCTTTCCCAGCTCCCTACCTCTTAACTTCCTTTAAAAAAATTTCCCCTAGGAACGCATTAATTAATTTTCAGTGCATTCCTATGGGAAATTTGGTTTCGCAAGACGGTGTTTTCGCAAGACAGCAATTTCCGCGGAACGGATTAACATCGTCTTGCGAGGCACCACTGTATAGTTAGTTTAGCATCTGTTAATTTTATATGTTCTTTTTAATTTTGTTGTACACCCAGATAGTGGGTTTGCTAGACCGGCAGTATAAAAACTGAATGAATGAATTATGTTTTAAAAAATTACTCCTGCTGTACAAGTGAGCAGAAGGTTGCTTCAGTCTCTAGAGTCCTCAAGCGACCACAAAAGGTGGTTAAAAGGGAGGTTTTTCTCTTACTTAAGTGGATGTTTGGATAAGGTAACAACCAAGCAGCAGAGTAGACTTCTTGTTTGATCTTCTCTTAGTCAGGCTTCTATGTAATTGAAACAAATTTCCACCCACCTCTCCACAAACGTTCTGGCAAAGGTGGAGGATCTGAAATAAATAGTGTTTCATTATAGGCTGGAGAAAGTAGCAGAATCAAATGCTGAATTTCTTTTTCTTCAACCTACAACACAAGGGCGAAGGCCTTGGAAGCTTTTCTGCTGAGCAGTCAGGGACGCAAGCTGTTGAGTAGTGAAAATCTGATTTTTTTTCTGTTGACCCTTGGTAGGTCAGTTTCTCTTCTGTGCTTTTAATTCTCCATGACCTTGAAGGGAGGATTAGATAAAGCATGATTCATATGAACTAGAGCCTTTACTTTTGGTACTGCATTATTACAGCTTGTTTTTCTTTTTTATTATAGTGATTGATGATACAACCAAAGAGATCGTGTACAGGGAATATGTGGATATCAGTGTTGCAGTTGCAACTCCTAGGGTATGTATTGTGAAACTATTCTTTATCTGTATATCAGCCTGCTGGAATGGGGATGGGTTTTCAGCTGTTTGAAATTGAAATTCATATGGCACATTTGAACTTCTCAGTGTTATGTAGCCCTACATAAAGTGAGAGCAGTTGCTCTTGTCCAAAGCTCTTGCACAAAATTGGTAGTGGATCTTAAGTCTCTCGGGATTGAGTAAAACAGGTTCCTCTTCCTGATTCATAGGGGGCACCAGTAGCAAAAGGCACTTGGAACACCTCTGCAATTCATGAACAAAACAAAGGAACGGTCTGCCTAACTTTCAGTACTGGGCTGCCATCACTGCTTGGATGTGTGGATTTTAGAAACAAATAGATTTGGTTATAACAGGAATGGGCAGCAGGATGACCCCAATGCCCTCAATTTTAAAAAAAAATTAATTTATAGGGTACTCTCTGAACTTGGAATCAAAATCTCTAAGTTTCTGTGTGTGTTCCTCAGAGAAGATTAATTCAGCCTGTAGCGTGGTCCCAATGGCTTGTTGCACACTGTAGAATGTTTTTATCCACAAAGCCAATTACATGAGCTCCAACAGTTAGTCCTTTTACAGAAACTGTTCTGTCCAGTGACAGCTTGTTCTTCCATTGGCTTTGGCTGTAATGGTGTGTGATATTGCAAACCTTCCATTTGATTCAAATACCTGTCTTTCCTGTAGGGTCTCGTCGTCCCTGTCATCAGAAATGTAGAAAAAATGAATTTCGCTGACATTGAGAGAGCAATCAATGAGCTGGGGGAAAAGGTAATGGATGATGACTGTGACAATGCTGCAGGAAGCTGAAAATGGGGCGGATACATACAGAGTTTTCACTTTTCATGTCGTTACGGAGAAGGGTAAATAGGAGAGTGTAATGTGTTTAATAGGATGTGGTGGCACTGTGGGCTAAACCGCAGAAGCCTGCGCTGCAGGGTTAGAAGACCAGCAGTCATAAGATCGAATCCACGTGATGGAGTGAGCTCCCGTCGCTTTGTCCCAGCTCCTCGCCAACCTAGCAGTTCGAAAGCATGCAAATGCGAGTAGATAAATAGGTACCACTATGGTGGGAAGGTAAAATGGCATTCCCTCATCACGCCGGCCACATGGCAGTGGAAACTGTCTTCGGACAAATGCTGGCTCTACAGCTTGAAAAACAGGATGACCACCGCCCCATAGAGTCAGACACAACTGGACTAAAAATGTCAAGGGGAACCTTTACCTAATGTGTTTAATGAGAGGATGGTTCTGGCTTAACAGTTTCACAAGAAGCAAAGATTTTGTGTAGTTTCAATTTTCAGAAGCTTTTAATTAAGATGTCCTACAAGATCAGACCAAGGATCTTTAAAAAAACAACATTCAATTGTATATAAAATAAAAGAGCACTCTTTGACCCCTGCACGAGAATTCCTAAGTTACTAGAAAGCAGGTTTTCTTTGTAGAGATCACTGCTTTCACAAGTGACACAACCATACATTACTGTGCTGAGATTACTTTTATTTTATTTTCTACCCACCCATCTAATGGCAAGCCACTGCTATGGGCGGCTTACAGCAAAAAGAAGCATAAAAATTAAGGACAAAACCTAAATTGAAATCAACAAACAGAAAAAGAAAACCCCATCCCAATAACTTCAATTATATCTAAAGGACACTAATCTGACTCTGGTGGCAACAGTGGTATTAGTTATCAGTTTATGTTATTATGGTATTGTAAGCTGACCAAGGTAGTGGCCTGGCCACTGTATGAGGAGCATAAAAAATTAAATAAATAAGTAAATAAATAGAATAAATAAATCAATTTATACAATAAACAAACCACAGTCAAATAATTAAATAATTGCTTAAATTAAGGCAATTGCAATGGTCAGCCTTTGAGAATACCAATGTGTGAACCAGTGTTATTAGGGACTTCCTGTCGAGATAAGAGGCGGAAGTGTGCAATCTGTCTAAGTTGAAAAAAGGACCTGATTCTCCATCAAGAGGGCTGGGCCAGAAGCACACCTAAAATATGTACCTGACCCTTCAGGGACAGTGTGCCCCCATCCAGACCAGGCAAAAAGCCCCCTAATTGGTCAGGGTCAGCTTCAGCCTATTAGCCCATGTCCAGTCCATAGCTGTGGAACGGCAGCACTCTAGGGTCTTCACAGCTTCCCCTGCCAAATATGAAAAGAAGATATAGAATTGTCTGTCATCAGCTTGCTGATGACAGCACACTCCAAATCTCTGAATGGCCTCCCTCAGCGGCTTCACATAGATTTTGAACAGCAGTGGAGAGATGGTCAACTTCTATGGGATACTACATTGTAGGACCCACAGGGATGAAATAGCATCCCCAAGCTGAACTCTCTGAAGCGAGTGCAGTGCTGCTCCCCCCAGTCCTGAACCCCAGCAGCTAGCCCAGGAGAGATACTGTGGTTGACTGTGTCAAAGGCTGTTAAGAGATCCAAGAGAACCAGAATTTCACTGTATCTTGACTTTCTTCATGTATCCTACTTTAAACTATTTAAAAAGTTTCTGCTTTCTTGTTTCTTTCTAGGCCCGGAAGAATGAGCTTGCCATTGAAGATATGGATGGTGGCACCTTCACCATTAGCAATGGGGGCGTCTTTGGATCCCTTTTTGGCACACCCATCATCAACCCCCCTCAGTCTGCTATCTTAGGCATGCATGGCATCTTTGATAGGCCTGTTGCTGTTGGAGGCAAAGTAGGTACCAGATCGAGGGACCCCAATGACTTGGCTTAAAACCTGTGAAAATGTCTTTTTTTCTTTATTTTAAAATATTTTAACCACCTTTCTCCTAAAAAAGGGACCTAAGGCAGCTTACATCCCAAAAAAACGCAATACTGTATTAAAAGCTTTAAAAAGAAAATTATTAAAATGTTTAAAAAGCATAGCATTATATTAAAAGTGTTAGGTAAAAGCTTTGCTAAAAACAACAATATATAAACTATCCAGTTTATATATTGTTTTTATATATTATTGTTATATATAAGAAGCAACAATATATAAACTATCCTGTTTATTGTCTCCTAGACAGTCAGTCACTAAGGAAAATCCTGTTATCCTGGCCACTAATGCACCACTTTTATGTGAATGGGGTGACTTTTAAGTGATCCAGCTGAGTGCACAATTTAGAACCTGTATTAGAGCTGCTTATGGTAAAGAATCTCCTACATGGCTATGACTGCATTGCAAGGGGCCCTTCATCTAATTAAGCAGAGGACAAAACAGCTTTAACCACAAGCCTTTGTAAATGCTGTAGGGAAAAAACTTACTGCTTAGAAACTGTGGCTATTGAGAGAATATAAAAGGATGTTTGAGAAGGGATATTGCACAGGAAGCTAATGAATATTTGTGTGCAATAAAACCACAAATTACTTGGAAGAAGAAAAAAAACTAGCTCAGAGACAGCTACATCTCTTTTGGCTGTGCCCAGGCAACTGGAAAATTGTCAAGGTTAGGACTAAATTTACAACTCTTGTATTTCCTGAACCCATCGAGAATTCCAGTTCTTCCCCTTTGGAATCATCCTAGTGACACTCACAGTACCTCAGTACTGTATTTTGTAATCACAATTTGATGACAGATAGCACGGCCAAAGATCGATAGTTCTGTTGGAACCTAGTTTTTGTCCCAACCCTTTATTTTGTTTGTTTGTTGTTTTGTTTGTCTGTTTTATGTGTTTCGTTTTTGTTTTGAAAATGCTGGATGGCCAGTGGTTGAAATTTGGGGGCATAGTTTCAGATGGCAGTGTCATAGAATGCCCACCTTGTAGATCTGTGTAGATTCTCTAACAAATTCTATGTGTGACTAGAAATTTCTCTTCCTAATGCATGAGTATTGAAATATTACTTACCTAGGCCTTGAGAATGAGAACAAAAATAAAGAAAATTATTTGGTTTAACGATGATATTTCTCTTTTTAGGTTGAGGTGCGACCAATGATGTTTGTGGCTCTGACCTATGATCACCGGTTGATTGATGGTAGAGAGGCCGTGACCTTCCTGCGTAAGATCAAGGCTGCAGTGGAAGACCCTCGTGTGCTGCTGCTTGACTTGTAATGGGCCTCAGCAGCACATCTCCCTCCCCCTCCTCACCCAGCAGAGCAAGGCTACAGCACCAACAAAAGGAATATAGAGGACATTCAGGGATCAGCAGGGCTTCATTCCAGTCTCCTCCTCTTCCTAGTGACAGGAGATGCTTTGAAAGGAACCTTGAGGGTAATTTGCCACCCACCTTTCCTGCCTCTTCCAAAGATAGTTCACTTTCTTCCCCAGAGTAGACAAGCAGACGTTCTGACCTATTCAGATACAGCTTACCATCCTCTCTTCCCCATGTCTCACTCCAAATAGATCTAACTTGATTTCTCTTCTGAGATCTCCTGGGAACAGAAGCTCCTTGCTCTTTAGCTAGAGCTTCCTTCTCAAGCTAGTCTTATACAGAACTTCAGCTTTAATTTACTGTCAGCCAGACAGGCTGCCAGAGAGGAGCAGGGCTGGTGGTGGGTCTCCACTAAACTTGAAGGTTATCTTGCACAGTGAACCTAGCCTGGGGTCCTCTAAGGTGACTCTGTTGCAGTGCCTGATCTTCTACACCTCCAGTAATGGAGGGTAAATCTTATACGCCAGCCATCTTGTGGTTTCTTGACCTTAGCAAGGGTGAGGCACTTCCTGGGGTTACTGCCTCCCTGGCCATTTTCTACCCTTCTACTAGCTGAGAAGTGACCGAAAGGATTGTTTTCCAGGATCTTCCTCTGACCCACCCGTCACAAGAACAGGAAGAAGTCAGTGAGAACTCCAGATGGAACTATTTCTTTTATGTTTTAGACTTGGTGTCCCTTCTGACTGTCAGGACCAGTTCCAATTGACTGGGGGCTGAGGTTTAGAGAGAGATAACAACCCTCTGCAGCTGTCCTATGTTCCATCTAATCCTCACTGGATGGTTACATCAGCTTCATGTTGGCAATGGTTTGGGCTGATTAGGTGGTAACATGGATTGGGACTAGACTGTCATGTGGTATGTATCCCAATCGTGCCTGCTGGCTCATGGAGACATATCCTTAGTACAATAGTGTGCCCATGTATTGTTGAGTGGGAGGGTTGCTAGTGCCTGCAGGGTTTATTACTCTTGTTGCCGCACAGAACTTGTAATTAAAGTATTTAACGCAACAGATTTTAAACAAAATAAAATAAGGAAATTACATGTGTGCATATGAATGAGAGAAATGTCTGAGAGGGATAGGGTTTAAAGGAGGGAAGTAATACAGTTACACTCCAAAATGTGTCCCAGTTGCTTATAGCATCAAGGAAAGAAATGTGGGATGGTTTTATTCTGGCCCTCTTATTCACAGTAGCGGAAATAAACTGTTTAAGACCTTCCTTCTGGGTAGTGTAATTGCTAATGTGTCATAGAAACGGCCTCATTCCTGGTTAGCTTAGGTGTCAGATATAATCAGTGATAACATGTCCTTGCCTAGTCCTGTCCCCTTTTGCTTTCTGATTTAACAGCAAAATATTGTTTAAAATTGTATCCAAACAAGAAAACAATGGTTTCTCTCAAACATAGTTCAAATTAATTTGTTATGGTAGTTTGCATAGAAATTATAGCTTGTTGCCAGGTTCAAATGTAATATTATTATTTATTATTATTATTATT